CAATATATACATTTAATGCTATAAGTTTCCCTTTAAGTTTTTCTTTAAGCTGCATTCCACAAATTTTCATTCAGTCCAAATCTTTTATTTCTCTTTTGACCTCCTTTTTGACTCATAGGTTATTTAGAAATAGGTTGTTTGATATCCATATCTTTGGGATTTTCAGATAGCTTCCTATTGATTGATTTGATTAATATAATAATTTTTAATTTCTTCATGGTTGGGCATACCTTGTATGATTTCAGTTCATTTAAATTTGTTGCCCCAAATATGTTCTATCTGCTTGGATACTCCATGCATACTTGAAAAGAATGTGTATTCTGCTGTTCTTCACACTTTGTTTCCCTTTGGTGTTATTTCCCTTCAGCCTGAAAAATGTCCTTTAGCGTTTGTTTGGTTTTTTTTAGAGTGGATCTCCTGGCAACAATTTCGACATACGACAAAGTATATGTCATCTAATTCTGAATTGTGTGTTGAACATTTTGAATATTTGGTTCTGTGGACTCTAGGTCTTAAAATCCTGTGGAGATTGTGAATTTTTTTTTTTAAACTAAGACAACCCAGTTAGGTTCAGACCACAAGTTCTGTTTCACCCTCTCTAAACAGATTTCTTCTTCAGGATTTTTTTTTTTTCTTCTTCTCCAAGTTTTGACTCCCTCTGCTATTTCCCTGCTTTTGTTTACTTTTCAGAATTCTCAGGTACCAGTTTGCTTTTGTATTTTGTTCAGAGTTTTCAGCTGCAGTCAGTGGGAGAGAGGCCATAGCAAGCTTACTTTATGCTTACTGGAATTACAAATCTCTATGTAGTGTTTTTTTATTCCACAATTTAGATGCAGTTATTATTGCTTTATACCTATCAGTGTTTAGATTTATCCACATATTTACAAAAAAAATTTTAATGTTCTAATCCTTTCTTACGCCTTAACTTCTAGGATCATTTTTCTGCTTTTTAAGGGACATCCTTTAGAAGTTCTTTTATTGATGGTCTGTTCAGAGTAAACTCTGTTTTTGTCTTCATTTTATATCTTTATTTTGTTTTTATTTATGAAAGATAGTTTTGTTCACCATTTGAATCTGGGTTGACAGGTTTTTGTTTTGTTTTGTTTTTTTGCGGTACGCGGGCCTCTGTCTGTTGTGGCCTCTCCCACTGCGGGGCACAGGCTCCGGACGCGCAGGCTCAGCGGCCATGGCTCACGGGCCCAGCTGCTCCGTGACATGTGGGATCCTCCCGGACCGGAGCATGAACCCATGTCCCCTGCAACGGCAGGCGGACTCTCAACCTCTGTGCCACCAGGGAAGCCCTGACAGTTATTTTTATGTCAAAACTGTAAAGATAACATTCCATTGTTTTCTGACTTTTCTTGTTTATGCTGAGAAAGTGCTTGTCGTTTCCCTCATAGGGAATACATTTTTTTTCTGGAAACTTTAAGGTCTTCTTTTTGTTTTTGGTGTTCTCTTTATTTGTTCTTCTATGATTCATTGGCCTTCTTGAATCTTAGGAGTGGTGTATTCTGTATTCTCAGTCATTATCTCATGAAATATTTTCTTTCCATTGTTCTCTAGTGTGTTCTCCTGGAACTCTTGATTAGATGTTGGTTGCATATTCTCACTCTGTTCTTCATATCTCTTTGCTTCTCTTTCGTATTTTTAATCTTTTTGTCTTTCCATGTTGCATTCTTAGTATTGAGAGACAGGCAGATCAGGTTCAAGGCAAGAGATTAAAATAGAGGCCAGTTTTAAGGCCTTGACCACTAGTGATTGAAGGTATGTTTTGCTATGCTGTATTGCCTAGTTCACGAATTCTTTCATCTCTGTCTTTGACATTTTGCTGTAATGGGCATATTTTCCAGATGACAGTGTTCAGAACATTACCACCAAACCCTGGTTCTGGGTAAGCTGGCACAGGCATCTAGGAAGTCCAGTTTAGTAGGTGAGATGTAGTAGTGGTTTGTCTGGGCAGAAACAGTATAATATGTAGTGTTTAAGGTGCTTGAGCTCTATAATTAGACACAGTTTGATTCAAATCTCTAACATTTTTTTACGTATGTTACCATTGATATGGCTCCTAATCTTGCTGTGCTTCAGTTTTCTCAGCACTGACTACTGTTATTATAATTATTCTTCCTAATTCAATTGTAACAGATCTTCCAGGCGGATTTGTTCTGATGTGGAAGTAATAGTGTAATGTTACATTTTAGAAGGTGGGCCTAGGTAAGACCGCAAAATTTCAACCCCCCTTTCACCATTTATTTGCTCTTTGTTTTCAGGGTCAAAGAAACAGGCAGATCACTCAGTCTCTTAATCTACTTAATCTTTCTCCTTAGTTTCCTCATCTGATTAAATTGGGGTAATAATTGTACCTACCTTGTAGGATTTTTATTTTCATTTTTATTTAAAAAAATTTTTTTAACATTTTTATTGGAGTATAATTGCTTTACAGTGTTGTGTTAGTTTCCGTTGGATAACAAAATGAATCAGCTATATGTATACATATATCCCCATATCCCCTCCCTCTTGCGTCTCCCTCCCGCCTTCCCTATCGCACCCTTCTAGGTGGTCACAAAGCGTGGAGCTGATCTCCCTGTGCTATGTAGCTGCTTATTGTAGGATTTAAATGAAATAATACAAGGGATTGATAAATGATTGTTGCTGCCTTTATTCTTGTTGTACTTGTCCATCATCATCAGCATCATTCTGTTGAATTAGGACTCCATTCACCTGCTAGAAGACATAGCAACTGGGAGGAAGGAAGGAAGGCTAGCAGGAACCAGGTGGGAATCAGGACCCCAGATATGCAAATCAGGTTCAAGACAGGACATTAACATATATGTGGAAACTAAAAAAATGGTACAGATGAACCTATTTGCAAAGCAGAAATAGAGGCACAGATGTAGAGAACAAACATGGACACCAAGGTGGGTAAGGCAGGGTGGGATGGATTGGGAGATTGGGATTGACATATATACACTACTATGTATAAAATAGATAACTAGTGAGACCCTGCTTTATAGCACAGGGAACTCTGTTCAGTGCTCTGTGGTGACCTAAATGAGAAGGAAATCCAACAAAGAGGGCATATATGTATACATATAGCTGATTCACTTCACTGTACAGCAGAAACTAACACAACATTGTAAAGCAACTATACCCCAATTTAAAAAAAAAAAAGACAAGACAGGAGATTAAAGTGATAGTTCAGTTATATGGCCAGGACCAACAGGCAAAACAGAAAAGGTTGAAGGTCAATAGGCATGAAAGTTTCAAATCCCAGGCATGCTGTATCTTATATCTTAGACTATGGCAGTCAGGCTTCCCCCACTGCAAATTATACATGGAGATGGAACTCAAAATAAAGTTATGCATACAGTTGTTTCTCAGAGGCTTAGACTTGTCAGAGCCAATGCTGCTAGTCAGAATTTCTAAGTACCTGTGGTAGATGGAACTAAAATAAGCAGGAATTCAGGATCACAGTTGAAGTGGAAAGTAAAATAGATTAGATTGAATTGTATCATCATCCTTACCAATGATGCCGAAAGCGCAGCTTCTTTGTACACTGGTGCTGAATCAAATCTCGGAGACAGAGTTTGGGATGAAGTATTGATAGAAAAGGATAGCTTTATTGCTTTGCCACGCAAAGGGGGACACAGCAGGCTCCTGCCCTCGAAAACTGTGTCCCACCCCCGGAGGATTTGATGAGGAGTTTTAAAGCAATAGTTTAAGGGTGGGGTCTCTGACAAGATCAGGGTGTACCCAGGGCTTGCCCTCCCTTAATCTCGTCTGAGGTGGTTGGTCTCCTAATCTTGAAGAGCTTATCTGGTCCCTTTAATCTGGCCTCAGGTGGTTTCTTGGCTGCTTCTCCCTAGATGAGCAACTGTTGGAATCTACCCTTTGGAACTCAGGGAAGGTCATGGAGGCTGGAGTCTTGCCTACAAGAAACCGGGGAGAAAAAAAGGTCTCTGTGCCTGGGAGCCGCGCAGGGCCTCGCTAGGTTTCACTAATCACAGAAACCTAGTGTTAACTGAGTCCAAGCTCGCTCTGCTCACTGCACAACAGGCCAGTAAATCGGGAGACGAGGTGTTGAGGCAAGGAATACAACTTTATTCGGAAAGCCGGCAGACCGAGAAGATGGCAGACTATTGTCTCCAAAAGACCATCTTATTGGGGTTTGGGTGCCAGTTTCTTTTAAGAACAGAGAGTGGGAAAAGGTGGGGAAGTAATGTAAAAAGGCTGTAAGTCTTACAGATGTCTCCTGGAATAGCCAGCCTCAGGGAAGGGATGTGTTAATTTCTTCTTTTCTGCAGCCATTCACAGGTGGGCAGGGTCAGATTGTCTCCCTGTGAGCTGAACAAAGGCACTTTAGTTTCACATTCAGGCAGAGGGCAGGGTTCCCTGAGGCAGGCCATTATGTATGATTATAATGACAAGCAACAAAAAACAAAGGTTAAAGTAAAAGAAACAGATTGAAAGGGTGTAGTCAAAATTGGCTCTTCCCTGTTACACTCCTGCTGTACTTCTGGGGATTTACTGCAAGGAAATCAGAAAGAATATGCCCAATGATATGGTTTAAAAGATTTCATAACAGGGGTGTTTAATGTTAAGAATTGCTTCAGTCTGAATGTCAACATAGAGAATTGATTAAATAAATTTACAGTACATCTGTATAATATGAAACTTTAAACCCATTTAAAATTATATAGAAATGTATTTCTTGACTTAAAGATATTTAAATTTCTATACCAAACATTTATTGCTGTTACGGTAAGAAAAAAATTTTTACAATTATTGATTTTTAAAAGGCAGGCAGTAAAATACTTTGACAGTAGATTCATTGTAAAATAGAGAATCTTTATCTCCTTATCACTTTATCCTAGGATTTCTTTTAGTTTAAAAGCATGAGGCCATCTTTTTACTAATTCGAGAATTTTGAGAGGTAACTTGCTTTTTAAATTCCTGGTAGTATTTATAGATCGAATCGTTTTTTGTTTGCTTCATTTCTTTAGGTCATTGTGTCAATGAGTATAGCATTTGCTCAGCAAAGTGAACTATCTAGAATATCTGGGGAAAAAGAAGATGCTCCATCTTCAAAACAAGCATCTGCTCTCTGTCAGGAAGAACATTATTTAAATGAAATGAAATTATCACAAGGTCACTTTGGTTTTCAGACTCTCGAGGCAAGAGACAAGAAATTTAAAGAAGAATTTAAACCACTTAGTAAAGAGTTGGGAGAAGATGGAAAGGAAGTTCTGTTATCAAACAGGGGTAATCTTGATGATATACTAGAATCAAAGGACCGTGAACTGACTATTTCAGAAGAAATGTTCTCCAAAGATAAAACATTTATGGTCAGAGAATCTGTAAGTATGCTTCCTTCAGTATAAAAACTTTTTAAAAAAAGTGTGGGGGCTTCCCTGGTGGCGCAGTGGTTGAGAGTCCGCCTACCGATGCAGGGGACACGGGTTCGTGCCCCGGTCCGGGAAGATCCCACGTGCCGCGGAGCAACTAAGCCCATGCACCACAACTACTGAGCCTG